ACCATGGTCGCCTCACCAGACACAATGTCTACCTCCGGCGGGGTGACCTCTACAACCAGTGGCACCACCCCGCCGCCGGTGGTCAGCAGCAGCACCAGCAGTGCCAGCAAAGCGCCGGCCCTGACCAGCGACGAGGTGTCCACTAGTGCCGCCACGTCCGCTGCCGAGCCCACCAGATGATGAATGGTCCCCTGGCGGGAGTGGGCCGTTTAGTGAAGCGTATGTTCGCTTAAATTTAAGTTTTGAAAGTCGCATCGGATCGGAACTAGTTAACATCTACCTTCAGTAACATAATACTAAGCGATAATTTAGTTGATAGTCGAGCATCTTAATTTATACAAGAAATTGTAATGTATTGCCAGCGCCGCTTAGATCCAATTCTAAACGTTTTAATCCTTAGTTATTATTATTTCTCTATTTAAATGTGAAGCGTATACTTTTAGAAATGGCCTGAATAAATAATTTTTGTTTACAATTATTTGAATTATACTTATTATTTCCCTTGGTTCTATTGGTTTTGCGATCCATAAAAGGCAAACTTTCTTCCTAACTCGCCAAAAACTTCCCAATTAAAGCAGTCCAACTCGGTGTATTTCAGATGACAGCAAACCACAGCTGGGAGGACTGGGTCGCAGCAACAGCGCGGAGGAGGCAACAGCCTTATGACACCAACTCTTCAGTAATTCCAATAACTAACTAATGAAAAACTACAGCGACATTGGGATGTACTTGCTGTCGGAGCAAGCTCTTCACCAGCAGCGCAAGCGGATGCTGGACGAGTTCCTGAAGCTATAGGATTACCCTGAGTAGCCGGGGACGAATGGCCAAAAAACAGCATGAGACTTGAGGCCACTATAAATAATACAATGTAAATTCCACAACAGATATCAGATATTTGTTTTCTCTCGGTGTTACAATCTAATGTTTACCCAACCAGTTGAATACAATTCTACCACAATTAGACATTTTGAATTGGTGTAAAAATCGTAACTGCATAAAATGTAAAATAATGTGACATATTCCAAGTGAAGTAATTACTCTCAATCGAAACGTTAGTTGTAAGAGTTTTAGGTATGTACGTACTTGCATGGAACTCTGGATGTAGTTTTCATGTGGCAATGTTCACGGCCCGAAAATATTAATGCTAGTTGTAAAGTTAGACTAAATTCTGATAAGAAATTTATATATACACAACAGAAACGGAAATTATACAAACATACTGGGTAGCTATATTTTATTCTTAAATTGCTAATTGCTAATAATTGTGATTTGGAGAGTACGAATAAAAATGGAAAACGTATGAACAAGTAACTCGAATACAAAGTGGGGAAAACGGAACTGAAATTTAGATAACAAATCAAATCAAAAACCTAGGGAGATATTCTGGAATGGATTAGTAGTGAACAGCGAAAGGACGAAATTATTTTTCGAAATTAAAAAACTTTTGTACGCCACCCTTTGGCCCTTAAAACTCTTCTTTTTTCATTTTTGTAATTTCAAATATTTTGTACGGAGAACTTAGAGTGCTGAAATCGGGAAACGCATTCGCCACAATCTTCAGAGACACAAATCCAAATACAAGCTAGCAAATGGAGACGTACTATTAACAAGAGTACTATGTATCCGCACTATAATTGATGTTTATAGTAAGTAGTCAATACCCTAAAAGCAAGCAAACTCTTAAATATATAGACCTAGTTTTCATTCCCGTTTCTAATCTTTGCCCCTCTATCTTGCCTCCCAGTTTTTCTTTTGTGTTTGAGATTGCCTAACAAAGTAACGGTTTACATATATTTTAATGCATAAATCTCGAGCAATCTGTGATATTATAAAAACAAAAAAAATGAAAAACCAAACCAAAACTCAAAAATCATTGCGTATGAGCCACATTTGAGGCCCTGTACTATAAGATTCAACTCGTTTCCGAAGCAGGACACACCAGAAAGTTATGGAGTCCTTGCCGAATATGGACACCGATACGCTTCGACACTTTCGAACCATTTTCGCCATATGCAAGTCGACTTTTCCTTTTGACAAAACTATGTGTATGTACCAGTAAAACTGAAAATGAATATATTTTAATAACTAATCATAATAGATTCTTGAATGAAACACATAACTGAAATCGATTGGCGCGCATCTAGTAACGTAACCACAAATGCCATGCGATAGCTAATTAACTACTGCAAAATAGTTTCAAATACAACCTTAACAAAAGAAAACAACTCGATCGAGCGTAAATTAATTGTATTGTAACTCCCCCTCAATCTTCGTTGTGTGTGTAACAGAATACAAAGTGTAAAACATTAAACTGTAAGCTAATCGAAACAAAATCGAAACCAAAAACCAAATACAACAGCTACCGAAACAATAGCAATAGACATAAAGAGGAACGCTCCAGTCTGTCCGGAAACTGATCTTACAGCCGAATTCAGAATTTAACACACCTCAAAGTCCTGAGATACCTATTCCCCATCGGTCTAAGATCAACATCTCGACAGTCGGACGCTCCTTTCTCGGATCTTCACACGACCACACCATATAGTTGGGTATATATCAACACAATCGCGCAGCAGAATAGATATGTACGAATGTTCAACCATGTGGCAAACGATATGCGAAACAAACATTTAAACAATATTGTGCAACTTTACATAAGGCATTTATGATTTTATGAAATAAACTCTACTTAAGGATGTACTTTGCAAGTTATTTTTGGCTTGGGACTCTGCGATATAGTCAAGTATGAGGAAGGTAAAATATTACATCATCTCTTAGCTACATTTTGTATTAGTTAACCTAACCTAGGCTTTTGCTACCTCAGCTTTTTTAACGTACTTAAGAATCCTTACAATTGTCGAAGGAGTTACCCCTTGAATTCTACTAGCCGCCGCTATCGTCTGCGGCTGGATGAGCGTCAGCTTCTGGCGCTCCTCGTTGGACAAGCTCAGCGACTTTGAGAAGTAATCAATGTCGGCGGGAATGGATAGGCGCTCCTCACGACGCACGTCCTCCACATCTCGTTGCTGTTCATCGACAAAGAACGAGTACAGAGCCTCGATTTTCAGCCTTTCGGCCAGGTTACGCTCTCCTTTCAGCCAGCTCAGTTCGTTGGGATGAATCTGGATTAGCTGCTCGATAGTGATGTTATCCGCCGGAATTCCCAGCATGTCGAATGCCGTTTTCTCCACCGAAGCTTTGGCCTTGGGCAGATCAAGTGCTTGTCGCCAGAAGTGAGTGTGCTTCCGTAATTGCCGCAACGACTCAATGGCCGATTGCAATCTCTCCTCGGTTTGCTGAAAGTGCTGGTAGCGATCTGAAGATACAAGTCCAAATTCGTAGCCCTTTTTGGTGAGACGCATGTCGGCATTGTCCGGACGAAGTGACAACCGAAACTCTGCCCGACTAGTAAACATGCGGTAGGGTTCATTGGTGCCTAACGAGGTGAGGTCATCGATCAGCACTCCTATGTATCCCTCAGTTCGACTAATAGTTAGTTGCCTGCCGTCGCCATGTCTGGTTTTTCCAGCTGCATTGGCTCCCGCTATTATTCCCTGGGCAGCCGCTTCTTCGTAGCCTGTAGTTCCATTTATCTGGCCAGCAAAGAAGAGTCCTGGCACTCGCTTCGTTTCCAGTGTGGGATACAACTCACGGGGGTCTATAAAATCGTACTCCACTCCGTAACCGGGCTGGACAACTACCGCCTTTTCCAGACCCTGGATGGCATGGACCAGCTCTACTTGCTGATCGTGGGGCAGCGTGCAGGAGATTCCCTGGGGATACACTAAGGGACTGTCCAGACCTTCTGGCTCCAACCACACCTGATGGACTTTCGCGCCGAACCTCAGAATCTTTGACTCAATCGAGGGGCAGTAGCGTGGGCCGGTTATCTCCTCGGTGACATGGCGATTTACATGAAGATTATCGCGGACGATGTCGCTGACTTTTGGTGTGGTGTAGGTGAGGTAGCAGGGTAGTTGGTCCTTGGCGGGCAGCCAAACGTCCTTGTTGAGAAAGGAGAATGGCATAGGCGGATCATCACCCTCGTGCCTTTGAAGCTGAGAGTAATCCACACTGTTCTTTGCTATTCTAGGCGGAGTTCCAGTTTTCAACCTCCCCATGCGAAAACCTAATCTGTCGATCGCCTCGCCCAGAGCTTTTGCTGGAGCGTCTCCAATGCGGCCGGCCGGACGCACCTCGAGTCCGATATTAATGTGCGCCCGCAGGAATGTGCCCGTAGTGAGCACCACGGATCGACTGCGCACCACTTCTCCGTTGGCCAACAGGACGCCGGTACAACGGCGGGCTTCGGTATCCTGTTCATCCTCTATCAGCAGGTTGTCCACGGCAGCTGCTCGAATCTCCAGATTGGGGGTGCTGTGCAGTTCCTGCTGCACAGCCTTTTTGTACAGCTGGCGATCGATCTGCGCCCTGGGTCCCCAAACGGCTGGGCCGCGTCTTCTGTTAAGCACCTTGTAGTGTACTCCGGAAACATCGCAACAGCGGGCACACACGCCATCCAGGGCGTCCACCTCGCGCATCAGGTGACCCTTGCCAATGCCACCGAACGACGGGTTGCAGGACATCTCGCCAATAGTCTCCAGTTTGTGGGTTAGCAGCAGGGTGCGGGATCCCATGCGAGCAGCGGCCGCCGAGGCTTCTGTGCCGGCATGTCCGCCCCCGATGACCACCACGTCGTAGATCTCGGCACCGGCGCTGTGGGCACATCTCGATGGGGGCCGAATCCTTCTAGCCAGTCCGCGCACCACGGCTTTTCGTAGCTGCAGCATTTTCAAAATACCAAACAATAACAACAACTGGAGTTGCACAACACATGTTCTAGCGGTGTAATCGGTAGTTGATATATCGATAGGTGGTTGGTTGCGTGCGCAATCAATCGACAACTGGGCGCAAATTTAAAAAAATCTATAAAGCTCCATAGAAAAACAGGTAGGTTGGGTATTTTTCCTATGGGTTTCCGTACCATAATCTAATCAAATATTGCAAAAACGGCATTGTATTTTTTCAATTTTCGTATGATACAATTTTTGTTGTATTTTCGTTCTACTTAAAAAGAACTTAAATTAAAGCAGACCGACTAACTAACTAAAATCCATCCATCTCAGCTTTTCGTTTGCGCTTTTTCAGCTTTTGTTTTGTGTCCGGCGCTTTGCCCCGCACAACTGCCGCCTTTAGACGCTTCGCCGCCTTCTTGCGCTCCTGCATGCCAGCCTTTCGCTTGGCCGCCCGTTCCGGGTCGTGAATCTTTTCCTGGGCCACTACCTTGCGACGCTCTGCGCGGCGAGCCATCAGCTTTGTCTGCACCGCATTTCTTAGTTTGTCGTACACTTCGGTTCCGATGCGCTTCCTCAGGCGACTGCCTACGCGGAGAGCTTGCTGGCGCAGTTCCGCATCCACGTTCTGATCCTCCTCAGACATTTCGCGAACCAGTGCCTGGAGAAACGACGGCGCCAGTCGGGTCACGGACTCCACACTGAGCAGCGTGGACAGCGCCTCTATCAGCGTAAACATAGCAGTCCTCTAAAATGGGAATAAGTTAGGATTAGAAAATATTATACAGCTAATACGTGATTATACTTACTATGCTGATGTCGTGCGGCGCCTTAGCGACTTCCTTGTTAATAAGGAAACGTATATTTCGAACCAGCCAGTTCAGATTTATTTTGTTCACCGGCTCTAGCTCCTCATCAGCCTCGTTCTTCTCCTGTTTCAAACTGAACGGAACGTCCCTCAGCATATGCCCAACGAATAGCAGAATCTTCGACAGCTCGTCAATCATCTCCTGCGCAGTCTCGCCCGGCGTCACCTGAGCACACAGATCTAGCACCAAAGATTTGATGTCCTCTGCAGGCTGTGCGTAAATAAAGTACAGCGCCTTCTTAGCTTCTTCTTCTAGTTTAATTCCCGATAAATGCTGGCCAACATAGCCGAAATCGAAGTGGGCCAGGATGTGTGTCAAGAGCTTGGCAGCATTGCAGCGAACCCAGTTGTGGTCGTGATTCAGAAGTCTCTGAGAGCCATAGGCCAAATCATCGATGGTGTCAGAAAGTTGTGGATTGTTGAGCAAGACCTCTCCGCAATGCTCCAAGATCTTGAGCAGACAATACTGCAGTTGGATGAGCTGATGGTCAGCTTTCCGCTGCTGATGCTCCAAAATCGATTCATTGTCTAGACCAGCTAGCAGTATATCTTCATCCGGCAGGGTTTCGAATTTCTTTAAAAACAAATGTATAAGTTTAATCGTGATGCTTGCACATTTACAAACTGTTATTACCTTTCGCTTATTCTTTTTGTGAAGATCACTTCCATCCACTTCGGTGGCGAGATGTCCTGGAGCCCGCACAAATCTACCTCCCGCATCCGCATCTCCCAAGGTCAGTACGTTCACCAAAGTGGGCAGAACCAGTGGTAGCCTTTCCGCAAAACCAGCTTTCTCAGCCTCCACAAATCGTGACAGAAGAGCAGCGGCCATTTCTCTGACTCCTGGCTTCTGACTGGACTGAGGTGCAGTGAAGAACAGTAGCGTTAGATCCAGCAGGGGCTGCCGTTCCGCTTTGGTGAGACGTCCGATCAGAGCCTCCAGAGCAGCGGCCACACTGCGTCGGCAGGACGGATCCTCATCGTTGACCAGTCGAGTGCCCAGGGAAAGATATAAAAACTCGGACTGTTTGACTAGCATGAGCTGTGGAAACTTGTTGATGATGGAGTGCATAAACTGAATGGCCGACTGACGACCAGCAGTTTGACTGTAGCACAACTGAACCGACATGAACTTCACAATCTGCTCAACCTTCTGGCGCAGTGTATATTCCATGATGTAGGTGAGTAGAACGCCACGACATTCATCGCGCACATAATCCGAGGAAGAGGTAATAGATAGGTCACCCAAACGCTTCATTAGATCGTGCAAGGAGCGGGTGTCCACCTTCCGACCCACAAGCGCCTTCAGTAGGGTAAATACCATGGTTTGGCTGCTACACTCGCCCTCCTGCAGTTCCTGTTCGATGTGTAGAAGTAGCTGCTCGATTTGTTCATTGCTCAGCTGGTAGTCCTCGCACTTGCGCAGCAGGGCCACCACTGCTTTGAAGCTCGCCCTGACCAGCTGAGCGTTCTCCTCCTGCCGAGTTGCACCAAATGTTGAAAAATTCTTAAGGATCTGAAACATGCGTGCAACCACTGGTTGAAGTGCCTCACGGTTCAGATCAGACAGCTCGTACTCCCCCAACCAAATGGCCGTGTAGCACTTGAGGGCGTAGGTGGTGGTCCTGGCATGGTTGCTGCTCAAAGAATCTTTCAGAAGTGGTAAAAGCGGATGCAGGAAGGGCTGGTAATCCAGATCCGTTAGCTTTTTTCGTTTCAGCACGAAATGTAGGAGCTCCAAGCCGAACTCGACCAGAATGTGAGCATTGGCCTGTGCGTTAGACTTTACTTGCTTGTTACCGATGGCCACACTTCGTCTACCTGGCGCCGCCTGCAAGATCAGGCAGTCAGGCCGAGACCTCTTCATTAGAGCTTGCTCTTTTTCAGAAAGCTGCCGCTTCTTGGTGCCTGGAAGGAGGTCACTGATGCTCTCCGACATCGTGCCGTATATGAATATCAGCAGACTCTCCCTTGCAATGTGTGTGTTCTCCACCAAGCCACCCACAATTTTGGCGAAACACTCTTGAATCTTCTGCGTGACCTTTCGGGAGTGAGATCGAGCCAAGTGCTCCTTGAACGGCAGAAGCAGGTCCAAAAGGCAGTTGTCCCGAATATGACGAGCGGCTATGTTCAGTGTTAGGTAGCTCTTCGCGCTTGGCTTTGCTTCTGGCGTGTGGGCCACAATTTTCTCCACCTCCTTCTCGGCGTTCACATCGCCGAATATATCATTGAGAGCCACTTCCAACAGGTTCTGCAGGCAATTTTCAATATGGACTGGTTGCAGGTCGCTCTTCAGAGCATCCAAAACACCGTGGAGGGTTACAGAGAGAACGTGCACCTGAAATCCTCGTGTCAGCAAAGATTGCAACTGCTCCAACAGCATTCCCAAGTAGCTGCCACCCAGGGTGCTCATAATCTTTTTCAGAATGTCACGGGTAAGCATGCGAACGGATTTCAGGGGGGATCGCAGAAATGTGCAGACCTTCATGAAGATTCCTGGATAAAATAAATTATGAAAACACATTTAGAAAACACTTAGGGGTACACATACCAGGCAAACTGTTCTCCAATAATTCCAAAGGAAGTTTCTGCAGCAGTTTAACCATAGCCAGGGCAATGGGCACCCGTTGAATCTCCTCTTCCTCGCGCTCGTAGCTCAATCGTCGACGGTTTACCTTGTGCTTGGTGTCGTAGTTGGTTTTTTCGGTGATTGATCGGTTGAGGGTTGGCAGCAAAACTGTTGTAATAGTGGCCATGACCTTTTTGGCAGCGTTGGGAGCAAGGAGTTGGATGCGCTGCTGTTCCACCACTGGTTCGTGCTGATCTTCTTCCTCGAAGACAATAAAGTCCGACTGATCGTCTTCCTTTTTTACGGGTATCTCATCGCCTTCAGCATCCTCTTCCGCTTTAACGTTAACTGTATCTGATTCCTCAGCTGGTTCCTTCGTTTCCACTACCTCTGTCAGCTTTTCCTTCAGCTTGGCGAGTGAAGCTAAGTCCGTTTGCGCCTGGGTCAAGTCAAAATGAAAGGCGTCCAGGATACGCACAACAAGTCTGACGCACTGCTTCTGCTGGCTATGGACGTGTCTCAATTTTTGAAGGTAGTAGCGAAGAACTGCTTGGTATTGCGTCCAGGGCAGGAATTCACTCATCACACCAACTGCCTCGATGGCGGCATCCACAAGCGTGTGTTTGCCCGAATGCCTTTCACTCATAAGATACCGGGTGGCCAGTGGCAGGAGGAACTGCGTGAGGGTACGGGCACACGGTGGAGCCGTTCGCCAACTGCCTCCGGAGATATTAACCAAGCGCTGCAGGGCGCGACCGTGCCGCTGGGTCTGCAGGTGAAGCATGTTCTCAAAGAAGTCCACCTCCAGGTCGTGTTTATCCGTTAGCGGCGAGAGATCCTTCAGGATATCGTGTGCAGCAGGACACTGGCGTGCCAGTTCGCCAAGTAGGCCGATGGCCTCACTTCTGGCATGCTCGTGCTTTTCATCTCTCATGCAGCGTTGTAGCAAAGGCAACACCGTGTCTTCCAGCCAGAATTGCACATCCTCCTTAACCTCTAGTTGGAGCGTTATTAAAGGAAGCAGTGGCTTTAATAGTTCTCCTATGTTGACTCGCATGCCCAAGTCCGAATCGTGGCGCAGCATATAAAAGCAGTTGTAGACAACAAGAACTCCAAGTTGCAAGTCGATCGTTTTGTCTTTCTTTTCCACCAACTGCTTAAGCTCTGATAGAGCTTCCAGACGCTTATCGTAGTCCGGTTGCTCCAGCCATCTTTTGTCCCAGGCGTTCAACAGCAGCACAATCCTGACCCACTCCCGCAAGGATGCGGCAATGGGGGAGAGCTCGGAGTCTTGTTTTGCCTCCTTGTGCAGTCTTTTTGCCATGTCTGCCAAGAGATCGCACAGTAACTTTCTAGCAGGCAGCGCACTAACCTGCTCGAAGAGTGGAGCCAACTGGCGCAGATAATTCTGCGGTTTGGGGACACGTTTTAGAAGATTGGCCAGTGTGGTGACTAATTGAACGACTGTCTCTGGCGCAGCTGAAGCTGATTGTTTGGTGAATATCGGCAGCAGTACTTGCAGTAGCAGTTCACAAGTATCTGGCTCCTCCACATGCGAAGTAATAAGAGTTAAAATATTAAGTTCCCTCTTGTCGAGCGTTTGTCTGCCTGCCTTCTTGTGACGCCAGCTGTTCTGCAGCTGTTGAAGGATCGCTGGAATGTGGGGATGTACAATAGACAAGGCCTCCGCTCCGTACTCCTCTGTGGCTGCCGATTCCAGCAGATGTTCCACCACCTGCAAGAGTGCACGCTTGACATTCGGCTTGGCTTTTTCGTTTAGTAGCAGAGCCATTAGGTGGTGCATTATCGGAAGTTTATCGGCAGGAGAAGCCTTATTTAACCATTTCTGAAAGCGGGGCTCTCCGCCCCACAAGAGAAGCAACTTCAGCATGGGGGTGGGCGTGTGAATGGAGTCCTGCGAAATCCGAGCTATGCCTGGCCAAAGGTAGACTTCGCAAATAGCATTCATCTGTGGCTCTTGCCACAACTCCTCCATGTCCACCAGTTGGCCGAAGTAGTTGACCAGAGTCTGCAGACCCGAGTGCTTCACATTCTTGTAGGCAGCTACCAGTTTTCCTTCTCCATTGATGACTTCCTGGGCTACGCTCCCCACGAGCAGAAGTAATTTGAGAACGTAACATTGGAAGTCAGCCGTCAGCTTGCCGGCGAACTCCTTGCGAATGAGTTCTAGTAGATTGACGATCCTCTGCAATTGCTTGGCTGCAATAACCGCTGACGGATCATATGATTCTCGAGCATATTTTGCGACCTCGTTCACGGGCTTATCGGTGTAGGCAGAAAACCTACCGAACGCCATTTGCAGAAAATCCATAATCTCCGACTCCTCCAACTGGCCCAGGAAGCGCAGGATCAGCGTCTTTCGCAACTGGGCACTCAGTTGCTTTTGGACACCCTTGGTGAGCATTTTGCCGTACAGCACTCGCAGCATAAAGGGAATCAGCTCTGATCTTTGCTGAGCCGTAATGCTAGACAGTTCGAAGCCACTGAGCGTTGTTTTGAACTTCTCCTCATCAATTAGTCCCGATAACTGCGTCTTCTGCTGTACCAAAGCTGCTGGTTGCTTGTAGGCCGCGAGGCAGTCCAAAGCCAATTGTTGCAACTGGGAGTTAGGACCTGCTAGAAGCTCCAGATAAAAGTCATGCATCTCCGCCTGACGATGCAAAGCCTTGGGGTTGGGCTGGGATACAAAGCAGGCCAGTTTTAACTGAAGCGTTTGCAGTATAAACTTTGTGTGGGCATTTTGGGTTCTTCTCTTTTGACGGCCTCGGGGCTCGGGTTTGGTTTCATTGTTTTCGTTTTCATCATCCTCCTCGACATCGACATCCGCGGCTAAAACAAAGGGAAACGCTTTATAATACTGATTGTTTGAAACTCATTAACTTACCCGTCGCCTCGTTCACGTTCCAAGTGTGCTCTGATTTCTCCAATTGAGCCCGATACTCACTATCTACAAACTGCAAAAATAATCGCACTAAGTCTGCATTCTTCACTTCAGCAAGAGTGCCCAATTTGGGCACGCTCTGCCATAGAAGCTGGCGGTAGTTAAGGGCCTGCTGAAGGGTCAATTGTTGCTCTCCAGGTAAGGGAAGAAGCATGGTTAGTGCCGCCGATTGGTAGTCCCTTTGATATGGCACTTGCAAAGTTGTTACTTCCTTTTTGTAGTCTATGCAGGCGACTGTGTCGACTAACTTGGTCTTAAATAATGTCCAGAATTCATCAACTGCCATAGTCTTGGCGTAGGCAGCCAGTAGTTGTTGAACCGGAGCCCACACAAATTTAAAGTTGTTGTATAACAGGCCAAGCAAAAGACTAACGGCGTGCTCCTTGAAATGCGGCAACTGGGAGAATTGTTTGAACTGAGCAGACGCCGGTTCCAATTGCTGCAGTTGGAGGAGTAGCTCTCGGTAATTGTGGACGGTGGGCTCGATGCAGGCGGCGGCATAAAAGTGGGAATACGGATTGGGTTTGCTCAAAGAGTTTAGCACATCCAAGCAGTGGGCAGCTATGCGTCTGTATAGGGATACAGGCTGGCTTAGAAGACTCGCAATTGCGAAAAGTAATTCTTCCGAAGAAGATAGCTCGTTCTTAGGACCTTGTAAAAGAACCACTTGCAAGCAAGCCAAAGCTCGAAGGTCCTTTCCCAGTTCGGGAATAAGGTAACCATTAAGAGCAGATCGCAAACTCTTAGGTAAGTTAAATTTGAGCAATGCATGAGTTTGAAGTAGCAAGAGCAGCTGTGTAAAATCCTTTTCGTTATCGCATATGATCTTCTCAATAAGTGATTGCAACCCCTTTTCTATGGTCGCTTTGCTAAATCCCCTTAAATGGGGAACTAGGATGATAAGTAGTAGATGTTCCTCTTTGGTCAGGTCCAAGTGCAGAAGTTCTTGTTCCACGAATTTAATGGTGTCCTTTTGTTTTAACTGGAGGGGATACGCCACCCATTGTGCCAGTGAGTTGCCATCTACTTGTAGCGGCCGTTTGTGCTGAACGATGCGAGCCAGGAGCTCCAGCGCGCTTATTTGACTCTGTTCCTCGTAGTAAGCAATGACGTTGGGCAGAACCAGAATCTCAAACTGTGAATAGTCCAGAAGCTGCAGAATGGCGTCTTCGTACACGGTTACTTGTTTTCGGCTAATGCTCAAAAGCTTTTGCAGCAGACGGCTAGCATCCAACTGGGTAAGTTGAGTGTACTGAGCCTTCAACAGACTGGTGACCAATGTTGTTAATGGCTGAAGAGGATCCAGTTCCCGGTCCAAAAGTTTTAGCAAAGTGGCGACTACCAGCGGAAGCTCGGAGACGTATCGTCCATCCTTGTGAGTGACCAGGGGAAGCATTAGGCCGATCACCTTTTGCTCATCCACACTTTCACTGCTTGCAACCGAACACAGTTTCTGCCACAGGATGTTGCTTTGATCAGACCGCAGAAAGTTGAGCAACAGTCCCAAAGAATACTCCACGATTTCGCCCAAAAGTTCTGTCTGTGCCTTGGTGTGAGCGAAATCCTTGTTGACGAGTACCTCCAGGACATGGGCGAAGATTTCGGCCGCCGAATTATGCAGCTGTCCATTGACGCCGCGCAGAATTTCGTAGATGAGTCGCCCGCAGCCGTGGACACTCTCCACCTGCTCCCGCAACACAGTCTTCAGCACATAGGCCAGAAAACGCGGGAAATCACGGACATCTCGTGCAATGTATGCAAAGCACTCTACCGCAAAGTTAGTCACATGCTCGGCATAGTGCTGCTCGTCCAGAAGCGGTAGAATTGCATTGAAGACAACACCGATGTTGCGTTTCAGATAGGGCTTGAGGGTCTTGAACAGATGCGCCAGGCAGATGAGCGTCCATTCCAGTTGCTCTGAGTCTTGGGTGTTCAGCAGGCAAATAAGTCGGTCCAGGACCCGCTGAAAGTAGGGGTAGAACTCCTCGCGGAGATCCCTGGCCAGAACATAGAGCAGTTCCAGCAGTGGCTGCTGGGACAAATTCGTGGCGGTGGACAGACGTTCGAGCAACAGGTCTACAACAAAGTCCTTCTGGTGCAACAGCTGCGGCAGAGTGACTATCTTGCGACAGCGCTTGCTGAAGTAGTTGTACTCCTCGGTGAGATTGAGCACGTTCCATTTCTGAATTGTCTGCTGAAAGTAGGTGGCATTCTCCTCTTCGTCGAGCTCCTCGTTCCGATGGCCGATGTGGTAGAGGGCCAAGTGCCGCAGGTCGATTTCATTCACCCGATCTCCGAAAGATTTGAACTGGGGGAAAAAAACGTGTGAGGCGGGTGGTCAAAAAAACTTGAGACTTCTGGGGACACTCACCCGAAAGGTATTGGTGTCCTTCGTTTTTTCCGCTAAGGATGCCATGTCTGTACAGTTTGCACTTGATACCGTTCACTTCATTTGCACCTGGCTGCTTTAATTCACGGAAAAAACACTTTTGTTTACGACCACTTTTCTTTCAAATGCAACACGTGCGAAACATATTTACGCACTGCTATCGATAGGCAGTCGGCGATTGCACTTACTGAAAACATATGTTCGCTGGAAAATATCGATAGTACCGCAAATCGTCCCCGCATTGGCGCACTTTTTAAATTGTTCCTCGAAATAATTAAACTTTAGAGAAAGCTAATTTTATTGGAATTAATATTGTTTTTATTTATTTATTATAATAGATAAAGTAGTTTACAAAACTAACAAAACTTCATTATTATAGTGCTGGCTACAGGGCCTATGGCTATGTTGGTTGACAATTGCATTGTATATTAGAATTTATATATACATATATTACAGTGGTATGGTAAAATACTTTAAATACTTTAAAGGCACTTTAGTTCCGATTATCAGGCTTAAGTGTAATGTGAGCCATCCAGTATGCTTTTATGTATTTCTATAAAAAGAAGTCTAGGGGTTCAAACATAAAGGGACATTTAATAATATGGCACATACAAAATGCAAAATTAAATTAAATTAGGCAGACTCTTGGGACTGCAGATAATTAAAAACAGTGCCGCGTTCCACATATCGTTTGCTGGATTCCTGATTCAAGGTTTCTCCGCCCTTGGAAAAGTCCTCAAGAGGTCCATACCCGCCGCCGCCGGGAGTTTTCATTGCAAAAGTGTCCTGAAAAGTATGGATCCGTAGTTAGTTAAGTTACAAACAAGTATATACCAAAGTGTACCCCAGCTTCCACATCAATGCAGGTTTTTCCCGCCAGAGCGATTACTCGACCATCCCGTTTCACCACCAAATTGCGTCCACTCTTGCCCGATTCTCCACCAGCAAGACCGTAGGGCTGCAGGGTTCGTCGCTCCGTCAGGACGGACAGGGTAACTGGCTTACGGAAGAGGAGATCGCGTTCCACACCCTCGCCTCCGTTGAACTGGCCTCTTCCGCCAGAGCCATCGGTACGCAGGCAGAATCTCTTCAGGATCATGGGATAGCGCAGTTCCAGGATCTCCGGATCAGTGATGCGGGTGTTCGTCATGTGGGTGTGCACTCCGCCGGCTCCGTGCCAGCCGGGCCCGGCACCAGCTCCTCCGGCCACTGTCTCGTAGTAACCCCAGGACTCGTCTCCAATGGTTATATTGTTCATGCATCCTTGCGAGGCGGCACACACTCCGAAAGCCTTCAGCACAGTGTCTACGATGCGCTGCGATGTCTGTACATTGCCACCGACCACAGCGGCTCCCTCGGAGGGATCCAGGATGGAGTTTTTCGGAATGATCACCTGGATGGGTGCCAGGCAGCCCTGGTTGAGTGGCACATCATGGCCCACCATGCAGCGCAGGCAGTAGATTAGGGCGGACAAGGTGATAGCCCGCGGGGCATTACAGTTGCCCCACACTTCCACTCCCGATCCGGTGAAGTCGCAAAGAGCCGATCCCTGCTCCGCATCGATGGTCACTTTGAGTGCGATGGGAGAGCCGTCGTCCATGAACTCCTTCGCCTCTAGCACTGTTGATCCCGTGCGCTCCAAAGTGTCCCGGCCAATCTGACGCAACATATCACGAACTGCCAGTTCGGCGTTCTTCTGGATGTGCGACATGTAGGCCTGGACCACATCCAATCCATAGCTGCCGATCAGCTCCGCCACCAGCTGGATGCCCTTGTGGTTGGCGGCGATCTGGGCCTTTAGATCAGATAGGTTGTCGCTCAGGTTTCGGGTGCCCACAGCTCCCTTTGCGGCCGTGGGCGTGGTCAGCTGCTCGATGATCTGCTGCTCCTGGAACAGGCCATTCTCCACAATCAGGAAGGACTTGAAGGCGGCGCCCTCCTGAGCCAGCGAGGTGGAGTGCGGTGGCATAGACCCAGGAGTAATTCCACCAATATCCGCATGGTGACCACGGGAGGCCACAAAGAAAACCGGTCGCGGATGAGTTCTGGGAGGAATAACATATGTCAGACAAGAAATTTTAGGACCACAAACTAGCAAAACTCACTCATAAAAAACTGGCGTGATGACGGTTAAATCGGGCAGGTGAGATCCTCCTGCCGATGGATGGTTGGCCAGGATGACATCGCCGTTCTTGAGGCTCTCCCCGCGCACCCTTAGTTGATACTGGACGGTTTCCTGCATGGCACCCAGGTGAACTGGAATGTGAGGAGCATTGCTAACCAAACCGCCATCTGGTCCGAATAGGGCACAGGAGAAGTCCAGACGCTCCTTGATGTTGGTGGAAATTGAAGTGCGCTGGAGCACCCTGCCCATCTGTTCGGCGATGCTCATGAAGCGGTGGCTAAAGATGCTCAGATGCACAGGATCCAAGTCTGCATTGATGCCATGCTTGCCACCCGTTTTCACGTCCATGATGAGGTCTCCAAACGGAGTAACTTGGACACCACACTCTGGTTCCACGACGATGGTCGAGAGCTGGTCAATGAGCACCGCGGGCCCGGTGATCCTGTGACCAGCCCGTAAGTTCTTGGTCAGGTAGATCGGAGCATCGAAGGCACCCTGGTCGAAGTGAAGTCGAGTATTCGCCTTCGCTGGCGGCGTCACTTCGGAAGCAGCCTGAACTTTCGTCTCCGGGGGTGTGTCGTTCTTGCCTAATCCTCGAATGCGAATGTCGTCTACAATAATCCGCCTGTTTTGCAATACGAATCCAAACTCAGTGCGATAGCGCTCCAGGAAGGTGGCATGGAAATCCCCATAGGCCACTAAGAGGGGATTTGAATCGGATGACTGCTTTCCAGTTGAAGGAGCAACCATTAGGGCGCCATCGGTGCCTTCGTATCGCAGGTGAAGGAAGGGCTCCAGTTCAATGCGCTTGAATCCCTGCTCAGACAACTTGTCGTGACATTGCTTGGCCAAGGCATCCAAACGATCCTTCAGCTGCTGGGCATTCGCATCACTGAACTCCAGGCCATTCGGCTCTTGGACCTCTTGCACCACGTCCGCCAGAGCCATTCCATAGGCAGATAGAATTCCGGCGTATTTGTGGACCACGACCTTTGCAATTCCCAGATTTCGCGCAATGGCACAGGCGTGCTGGCCACCGGCTCCTCCAAAGCAGGAGAGCACATGGTTGGCCGTATCCAATCCTCGGGATTGGGTCAAGGCACGAATCGGACGACACATGGTTTCGTTCGCCACCCGAATAAAACCGAGGGCCACATCCTCGGCGCTTAAGACCCGTTTGTCTCCCGAACTCTTCAAGTACTCGTTGATCTCAGCCTGGAGCTCCACAAACTTGCTCCTGGCGATCTCATGGTCCAGCGGTTCGTTCTCCCGCGGACCAAAGATCTTGGGGAAGTATTGTGGCAGAATACGTCCGAGAATTAGATTGGCATCAGTGACTGTCAGTGGTCCGCCCTTCTTGTAGCAGGCAGGTCCAGGATGCGATCCTGCCGATTCCGGACCCACCACAAATATGCCAGATCGAAAGAAAAGCCGGGATCCACCGCCTGCAGCCACAGTGTTGATGTCCAACTGTGGAGCTTGGATCGTTACACCTGCCGTAGTGCTCTCGATCACATGCTCGTAGGTTCCGGCATACCGGGACACATCCGTAGAGGTGCCGCCCATGTCGAAGCCGATCAGTGGCAGCTCCGTTTCCCTGGCTCCTGTCAGCGCGTATCCGACAACTCCTCCAGCTGGACCGGAGAGAATGGCCCGGGCTCCACGGAAGCTCTCCATATTGGTCAGACCTCCATCTGATTGCATAAAGAGCACGTCCACGCCCTCCAACTGCTTGTCGAATCCAGACTTGAAGCTACGGAATAGGAAAATTACAGATAAATGTGACTGTGCCTCTTTTTTTGGCCACCACTGTAGTAAAGGCAGCGTGCTTTTGTTTGTATACCCTCGAGATCTGAGGCAACTCGGGTATACTGTGATTAGATAGAACAACTAAAGCCCAGCTAATAAATTAATATTATTTTACTATTTCTTTGCATATTAGCATACCAGAAATATTAACAAAGTTACTATAAACGCCTGTTGAAATCTATGAGATCTTGACTATTTTTAAGTTTAACAGGTATTGTCGCGTCGAATCCCGCCAATGTGTTTATTACTTTATATTCTCGATTTGTTTACTTTACGTAACTCCATCTCAGCTTTGGATGTGTGTTTGTTTAGCTTGAATTTTTTCGCTTTCAGTCTGACTACCAGCTTATCTATATGGCGACTCTCTAGAAAACATGTTTGGCCCCGAAAACAGCTGGGTCATTCGGCTAATTTACAAACCACAGATTAGGTGCACTCACCTGGCCAAGTAGCGATCTACATGGGGAGTCAGGTAGGCCTCGGCGCAGGCCGTGTAGCCACGGGCCACCACCCGGCACATGGGCATGGCCTGGTGGGATAGCGTCACATGGCTGAAGCCGAGCTCCCGGGCAATGGCGCCCACTCGGAGTTCGTGCTCCGGACAGGCGTAGCTGTGGGCCAAGACCACGGACACGGATGAGACACCCTGGTCACGGGCAGCTGAGAGGGACTGCCTTACTGCCAGCTCGTCAACGGGACGCACCTCCAGATACTTGGTGCCGGCCACACCCTCCAGCACCTTCCAGCTGTGATCTGTGTGGATACATTCTATATAATCAGGTTGGGTATTATATGTCAACGCTCCTTACTGAGCTCACAGCGGTCCGCCTGCTTTGGAACTATGCGGCAGTCCACCTCGACCACGGATTTGTACAGATTCGCTGGCTTGCGAATGTTCAGATCGAAGATCTTCGGCCTGGCCTGGTTGCCAATGTAGAGCAGATCCCGGAAGCCACTGTTCACCACCAAAACCACTGGGTCCCCCTTGCGTTCCAAGAGCGCATTGGTGGCCACCGTGGTGCCCATGCGAACCCAGCCGATTTTCGAGGTGTCCACCAAGCCGCTCGTTGCCAGATCCTCCCCCGTCTCCTCCTTAAGAATCCGGCGGATGCCCTCGCGGGGCGCATCGCTGTACCGCTCCGGATCCTCGGAGAGCAGCTTCATGGTGCGCACTTTGCCACCTGGACAGATGCACAGCACGTCCGTAAAAGTGCCGCCGCGATCGATTGCGAAACAGTATTTGTTGCCCGACATTGTGTTTTTTGTTTTCCGATCCGGTTAAGTGGAACATTAAGACTGAGCGGACACCGTGTTATGCGCCGTATATATACGGCGCTGATAATATATATATGTACTCATATGCCATTCTCTATTCTCTATTCTCCCAAAGCACGAAAAAGCTTTCTAAGTCGTAATCAGCTGTTGTTACACGGGAAAACCCACTGCTGGACACCAAATTTGGAACACCCTACCTCTTGCTTTTATTTTCCTAGTTTTATCCAGAATCGAAAATGGTTTTCTGTTTATTAATTAGTCTTGTTAATGCCATTTTAGTGTGCAATTATAATGTTTGAAGGATAATATCTATGAAAGTATTAAAGCCTTATAAAGATATGTCTTAAAATTTGATGTATATGTTTATTTATTTACACCCAACAAATCTAATTTACTTTCAAATTCTGGTACTTAGATGCATGACTATCAGCTTTAAAGTTAGCTCCCCTTTTTGTTCACCACGGGCTAGATTTGTATCTATGTAATATTATATTGAATATGATAATACAATATTTATAACTCCTAGTCGAAATATTGTTCACGACTTTAAAGCCAAAGTTTGTCTGCCAATGTGGAAATTACAGTCTAATTAAAGGCACTCTTCGATTTTCCAGCACTTAAATGCCGCTTTTATGTTGCCACAAAGGAAACCATTGACCTCCAATAATGGCACATATCATCCGGCAGTATAGTTTGTTCCAATTCGAACTTATTGAGCGCAAACGCTGGAAATTCTCGTTTCATCGATGGCCACGCAACCCATAAATATATGCAAATGCATGTTTTATCTGTTTTTTACACGACAGCAATGAAATTTGATGACTTATTAAACGAGGCCATAAAGAGCGCATTCCCTCCGCTTGTAAATACGGCGTAAGGAGCATGGAACATGCCAGTGTCAATATCACGGAATCGGCCTTTGGGCGCAATTGTTTGCAGAAAGGCGGCGTATCAATTCGAGTCGATTTGCGAGTTCGATTGCGACTACTCCCAATGGAACCGTTGAGATTGTTCCTCAGTTTGTCGGCTCCGTTATGACCCCTAATGCCCGTGACCCCTGACCCCTGACCCCTGACCCCTCACCCCGGGGCGGCTGAAGTGACAGTGGGAGTTGCGATGCTGGTTTATGAGAAAACATTGATGGCCCTTTTACGAGCCATTTTGTGAGTTCTACACGCCAGAAACACTGCTCCACAAATTGCCTAGAGTTTTCCGTAAACATGCTGCGCTGCCTCAAACGGATATCGAAATGGAGAGACAGGTGGTGTCGCAGCAGGGGGAAGAAGAGGCAACGGGAGCCACTGCATCGGACGGAGGACGAATTGTGGCTGGAGTACTACGGCCCATATCTGCACATCTGGCCATTTCACGAGCTCTGCGCCAGATTGGAGGCGAATGTCTCCCAGGTGAGATCGGGAAAATAATCACAGGGCATCCCAGCTATATCCGAGCCACCATTCACAGGGTCTAACCTCGGAGGCAGCGGGCAGAAAGCTGGCCAGGAATGGCAAGAATGTTTTGCCACTTGCCGCTAAGCAGGATTTGCGACTTTGGAAGTTCGTGAGGAACTGCTTCAGCGCCTTGGGCTTCATCATACTGCTGAGTTCCATAGCGTGTTTCACGATGTATTACCTACTTGAAATTGGACTGCCTGACGATGAAAAGGTGGATCCGGAGTTTTTGGTATCGGGCATCATCCTGCTCGTCGCCTTCTTTCTCGCAGGACTCATGTTGCAAATGCAAGAAGATGATAACGAAGACATGGTCGTTGCTTTCGATGAGCTAATGCCCATGTATTGCACTGTGATCAGAGACGGGGAAAAGGAGGTCATCCTCACCCAGGACGTAGTTGCCGGCGATATCCTGCCCATCAAGTACGGACAACGACTTCCTGCCGATATGCGATTCTTCAGCACCACGGGTCTGGAACTCAACAACGTGGTTCTGACAGGACACTCGAAGCCCGTGCACATCACTCCCTTGGCGAACGAGGGACGACAGAGATACTCCCGAGTTAAGTACATCAAGGATTAGGCCGGTTTATTATTGCTGTACAGTTTATTCATTTTGTATATTCATGTTGTTCCAAAGACATAGGAAAACAATATTGTAATAAGTGCATTTTGTTCCTATCACTCATACGTACTGTTGGCTGTGGGTTGGCCACAATTTATCAACTAGGAGTTGGGATCGTAATTCTATATACAAGTATTTCAGAAAGAAACAATTTCCAATCATCCAAGGCATCTGTTGCCGATGTGACACTTCGGGCATTTCAAATAAACAGCTTTGGCATGATTTCCAAAACCTTATCGAAATGGAGCTCCAGCAATATGGGACTAGCCTGCACCCATGCGATCAGTGGCATTGGTTTCGGAGTGGCCCTAGCCTGCGGAAGGCACACTGAAGTGGGATCGATGACGGCACTCAGCTTCCAGGAGCGATCTCCCAGTCGTTCGGAGAAACATCAGAAGCAAGTAAGCAGTGCTAAAGCGTCCTAGAAAAGGTACATCTATGACCATTGCACTTTAGATATCCTACTATCTGCTCGTGGTGGCCTCAGTTGCTTTCCTCCTGCTGTTCTTCACCACCGGATTCGAACGTGGCCAGACTGGGTATGAAGTCAATCTCTCGCTGCTGCTGGGTCTGACACCCATGTACCTGCCCTTCATCCTTTACTGGGGCTTGAGGCGGACGAAAGTGAGTATGAGGAGAAAGCAGTGCCATGTGAGGAACCTTCGGGGTACTAGCACACTGGGCCTCTCAACTGTGATTGTGTCCGATTTGGTTGGGACGATGACCAAGCGGCGCATGCGAGTATCGGAGATCTTCGTGGACATGGCACTGCTGAGTGTGGATAACCTGGACGCAAGTGCTCAGAGTCCTCGATTTATCGAGCTGATCCGGGCCTCAGTTCTCTGCAACGATGCGGTCATTTGTCCGGGTAACATTGGAGTGCCCAAGATGCAGAAGGACATGTACGGCAATATCCTGGACATAGCGCTGCTCAAGTTCGGACTGATGATCCTGCCGAGCATTGATCTGCTCCGCCAAGACCACGAGAAGGTGGCCAACAAGCACTACACCAGTGAGGACAAGGTCCAGGTGACGGTGCACAGGACTCTCGACGCCGATGGCCAGCTGAAGCTCATCCTGCTGATGAAGGGCCACTGCGACGAGGTGATCCGCCGGTGCTCCACCTTTGCTATTCGGGACGAGGAACTGCCTCTGGATGAACAGCTGCAGGAAATCATTCTAAGTCTGGCGGATGGGCTGCTCGAGGCAGGCCGCCATGTCCGTGCCTTTGCCTACAAGGAGTTGGGCGACGAGCTGGAGTTTCGCCGCTTCTCCCAGGTAAACACCGGATTAGAGGGCGGGGAGTATAAGTACCGCGACTACCTGGCGGTGGACACCTACTCGCTGAGGTTCCTGGGCATGATCGCCACCTACAATCCACCGCGGAGCACCATTCCCAAAGCGGTGGATCGCTGCAGAGCGGCGGGTATCAAGTTGATCGTTGTCACCCAGCGCAAGCCCAAAATGGCCAAGGCTCTGGCCGTTGATGTGGGCATCCTACCGTCTCCGTCGGACACTTTCCAGGCTCCCAGCAAGCGGATGCCCTCCACCGCGGATGTAGTAGACATGTCGCAGTACGCTGACAAGAAGCCGCAACACCAGCGTCGCCAAATCGAGCTGCTGCTCCAGAGCCAACGAGATTTGGTATGTGCCGCGGCGAGCACGGATCAACTCCACTGGATTGCGGATGCCTGTCGCCGGTTGGGAGCCGTGGTGTCCGTCATTGGAGGAACACTCCATGACACACCCGCCATGCGGAGCAGCCATGTGGGCGTGGCCAAGTACGGATGTGCGGTCATGTGCGAGGCCAGCGCAGATCTCATCCTGCTGGACACCTCGTTTGCCACATTGGTCAATGTGGTCGGCATAAGCCGCCTGCTCTTCGAGAACCTAAAGAAGGCTCTGGCCTATTGCCTGGCCACCAACATATGCAATGTACTGGTGTACTCCTCCTTCTTCCTGCTCGGTGTTCCCCTGCACTTCCACATCATAGACGAGCTCATAATCACGTTCCTGATAAACCTGGTGCCTGCCTTGACCTTGATTTATGAGCCTCCCGAGGAGAATCTGATGCTGCAGATGCCCAAAGTGTACGACGACTTTCTGCTTAATAGCCGGTAAGTTCCTACTCACAAATTATTGGCAAAACATATCTGGGTGAGCAATATTTATGGAGACTGTTACTTAAACTGAAAAATATATCTAAGTTCTTCGATGTTTTCCAAAACGTATCCTGTAGGCTTTTCCTTGTGTCCCACATCCTTGTGGGAACCATCGAAGCTGCAGCTGTTTTTATGACCTACTTCGTGTTCATGGCTGACAAGGGATTCCTGCCGAGAACACTGGTGGATCTGCACATCGCGTGGAACGACGACATGCTCGACGACATCACCGACTCCTTCGGCCAGGAGTGGGTAGGTATACTCATGTACACATCTGCAGGGAGTCAACCAAGCAGAACTGTGACATTCCCGCAGAGCAGCGAGGCTCGCGAGCAGCTGGAGTGCCAAGTGTCCTCCCTTTGCCTGATGAGCATCACCGCGATGCAGTGCACCAACCTGGTGCTGACCAAGACCGGACGTGCCAATCTGTTGACCCACGGATTCCGCAACTGGCTTCTCATCCTGGCGGTTCTCTACTTGATCCTAATCTGCGTGCTGTTGTGCATCATGGACTCCACTGTGTGCCTGCGCCTGGAGGGAACCAACGAGCTGCAGTGCGTGTTCCTGGCCACATGACATTGCTGGCCACGTCATGACATTGGTCCCTTCTCGTTTCAGCTTTGGCCACTTCCTCCGGACCAACTGGCCCTTCATGGCGCTGCTGGTCTTGCTCGAAACAACTCGCAGATACTTTCTTCGCCTCTTTCCCGACAGTTGGCTGGAGCTGGCCACTCGGTATTGAGCACACAATAATTGCACCTGGGAAACAAATACAACCAGTAGGTGGAACCCATAATTAAAGCTCTAGATAGAGGGGAGAAATGTGAGTATTATTTAAGGAAACTGTTTCAGGGTTTATGTGTGCAAATGAAGGGGTTTGCTTTTCTTTAAGGATGCATTAAATTTATTGCCCCATATTTTTCTTACCTGAGCTACTCTGTGCACCGTAAAAAGAAGCACATAAAACTCAGCCGCGGAGTAGAGTCATCTGGATAAAACTGAATCCTCGGGACTATAAGTTTTAAAGGACATAGATTGCCGAGAGTGCATTTCCGTATTATTTTTTATGGAAACAGCGAGCATAACTTCAGGAGAACTGCACTTTGGCTGGCCACTTTCCCTTCAAGTAAAGGGCAGTAAAACACGCTAAATTGTATTTGTATTTTTAAAATATTGCATTTATTTGTGACTAGCTCGAAGCTGTTGTGGTTGTGGTTGTGGTGGTGGCGGTTGGTGTGGTTTTTGGTGGTTGGGTGGAATTTTGCTGAAGTTTTTCACATTTAAGACTGGTTTAATTATTTAGTTTCTTTTGCATATTTGAGATCTACATTTAATGACATGAGTAGGACCATTCACGGACTTGCTTTCTTTGAACATCAATATTTTGCATTAACTTTACTTTTAATTTACGCTGTAAATATTCGTTTGGTTTTTATTTTGTTTTTTGGATTTTTTTGTTTTTTTTTGTTTTTTGATTAAACTTTCTGTGAACATTAATTGAGTAATGTTGTTATTGTATATTGGTTAACGCTATTTAAGAACTATGTGGATTGTGCACAGTCAACAAAGTAACTGGGTAGCTAAAGTGAACTCTCGACGTGAATCGGAATTATCTGCTGGAATTATCGGCACACGGTAGCCGACTCGCTAACTTTGAGATCAAATTCCTATAGTTTCAATATTAATTCAAACACTAATCGCAGCATCGCGGCGAAGTGGGGCTTGGGGATGGAGCATCCACCTGTTCCCAGACCCAGACTAAGGACCTTGCAACACATTATCCTATATAGCATATGTAATCTGAACGAAAAATATAACTCTGTAGGCGATCGCTGCTTTCGATGTTCTGAAACATTCTGTTCTGAAACTGAAACCGAACTATCATATCTATCAGCTGTGGCTTTAAATCCGAGGGGACTCAAATTGGAATCAATCAGGCAACGCAAGCTGAAGGCGGTGGGATCTCTCTGATCGGGGGTTCTACCTCAACTGTCTACATCCTTCTACTGTCTTTGCCCTTCTATGCGGTACGACTTTGTCTTCGACTTGTTTCGGCTGTTAAAATACGTTAAAATTATTGTATTATCTCATTAATTTAGTAGTTTCGTTTGGTTTAATCTTATGTTTATGTAGATTTAAGTACACACATATTTATTTAGATTTGTATATTTGCTTGTATACGTGTTCGTATGTATTGTATATATATCTTTGTGGTACTCGTGTTCGGTATCTGCATTCGCATTCGTATTCGCATTGTGTGTATATTTATTTAAAGTAATTTTTTAAAGTAATTGCGTTTACATTTATTCTATTGAAGTTTCTCTCGTTTTAATTTGACACTAAGTTTAGGTTTCAATTTGTTAAGGGTTTAAACTCTGTTCCATTAGATCGAACATTTCGATTTGGTTTGCCTAGACTTGCATCTGTGGAAATAAAACATCGCATTGCAAATAGACGCTCCGTTTATTCTCTGTAAAAAATAAAATCGTGTAGCACGAGCTCGAGATTCGCTCGGATAAGTTCACAGTTAGTCCCTAAAGATCGGTATAGCCTTACTACGGGGGGAGTAGAAGTACGAGTACGCATCAACTACGCAAACATCGCCTAGAAATATTCGCTAATCTCCTCGAGACTCTCGCTGATCCTCCCAAGGGTGAGGCGGGGCAGGTGGTATTCGGTCAGATTGGTCTATCTGGGCAGCCGCAGGTGGAGCAGCTCACTGGGTTAGACGCCCTGGGCGAGGCTCTCCTTCGACAGCGCCAGGATTGGCTGCTCCACCGCCCGGTGCGGAATGATGAACGGCGAGGCCAGCATCTGCAAGGGTCTAAAAAACATAGTCATTAAGTTCCCGCTACCCCCTGATCAATCCATTAAATCGGAGTACGTGGTGGCTCGTTTCCGGGCGGGCAACTCACTCAGCGAAACTGGTGGCCGTCACCATCGGCTGGCGGACCGAGTGCAGCGCCTGCGAGTTCTTGGCCCTGGCCAGCAGGCTCATCACCGTGCGCTTGGTGGGATTCATGCCGGAGCGGGGAACACCCAGCAGGGGACGCTTCCTTCCCAGGCCGCCACCTGGAGCACAGAGAGAAAATTATACCAAGATGTACTCAATTAGACATATCAAATGTAACGTATGTACGTCTTTTAAAACTGGGACAAAATTAAAACTATATTGTTTTTTACGGAATAGACCATTATTTTTGTTCGGTGCAGCAACTGAGACTGGCTGTGGATAGCAGGACTCACCTATGTTGATGGTCTTGACGTTGCGCAGAGCGGGATGCAGGAGTGCCGTGCCCGGTGGCTCCAGCAGCGTGAGCGTCGATCCGGATGACTCCCCGTCGCCGGGCAACTGAAGGGCGGCGGCTCCTGCCTGGGTGGTGGGCAGCCCGGCCATGGTGGCCCCCACTCCGGTGGCCGGCTTCAGGAGTCCTCCGATTCCTGCGGCTGTCAGCTGATGCTGGAGTGCCACTGCCATGGCTGTGGTGTGCACTGCAGGAGATTTGAGGCGCACAAAGAAGGAGAACGGAATGAGTGGCAGCTGGAGGATTGCTTTGCAAATGGTGTGGCGAAAAGGTGGACTTTGGTAACCGAAGCATTGAATGCTTCAGATTTATTAACCCTGTAGTCTTATACTGAGCTTTCCTAAGATCTAGCCTATTTAAAGGCTACATATAGTAGCTACTAGGGTTTTTATACCCGTTATACTCCATAACTGAACTCATCTTAATCGGATTTTAAGGTGGCATACCTCTAAATGTTTCAAGGGCATTTTAATTAAATCGATTTTACCAACAATCCTGAATTTTATATTTGCATACTATACAAAGTCTGTGGAGACGATGTTCCAATGTAAAGTCCCCTACGAAATCCTGTGAGAGTGTGCCTAAGCTCGAAATTAACTTGACTTCCGACTGGAGCTGGATTATGTTCATTGGCCCATTCATGCACTGCATCAATGGCAGCCGTAAATTCCAATTAATCTCGAGCCCAGACGGGCTTTTGGCATAGCCACTATGGCCGGAGTACACTTACATGCCGCTGCCGTCGCCGGAGTCGCCTGCCCGGAGAGATGCTCCCCGCAGGCAGCAGCTGCGGCACTGGCTCCTCCGTGAGCCTGCTGCAGGAGCTGGTGGAAGTGCGCCTGGTGGCTGTGGTGGTGCTGGACCTGCTGCTGTTGCTGCTGCTGCTGGTTTCCATGGGCGTGTGCTGGGTGCAGGTGGGCGTGGTGCTGTTGGTGCTGCTGGTGCTGCTGGTGGTGCTGGTGCGGATGCGGATGCTCGGTGCTGGCGGTGCTGATGGTCGTGATGCCACTGATGCCCAGACTGGCACAGCTGGACGAGCAGTCAAGCTTGTCGACTGCCGACAGGCACTCCATGCCGCTGGCGTCGTCCGATTTGTCATCGTTGGACGTGTCCATGTCGGCCAGTCCGCCGCCCAGACCACGCCCACTGGCCCCGTTGGAGGAGCAGTTGGTGGCGCCGCCCACCTGGCTGCCGCTGTTGATGGTGGGGCTATGCGAGTCCTCCAGCGAATGGGCACCCAGTGCGGGCGTGGACGTCAGCGCCTGCATCTCCCACATTTGCTCCTGGCGGATGTCATCGTGGTAGTCCTGCGGGCAAGAGATGAGTGATTCAGTGATGGCAGTGGCAACACACAGAGCCGTACACAGAAGACATGGTGCTGAATAACATGTATCACAATAGGGTTTTCAACAACAATGTGGTGGGGATACTTCAATCTAGTGGCATTGCATTCAGAGTGGTATTCGTTTTATCTCGCCGGAGATATATAAACTTTCAGTTTGTGGCACCACCTTGCCACGTAATGCAGTTGTGCGGGACCAAGATACGTCCATCACTGGTGGGGATTAGTAGTGGAACCGCAGGAACACCTCAGTCGAGCAATTAAATTTAATTCACGTTTCCCTAGTGGCCGTCGCTGGCAATAAATGCGAATTTTATTGGATGTCAATTAAAAGTTTGTGCGCAGCCACGTTTCATGTGTCGCCGGCGGAGCACCCTTTGAGTAGAATCCATTCCTGCCCCAGGGCACTCATATATGTATCGGTCGCACATACACATACACATACACGTGCATGTGTATCTGAGTATCTGTGAGTGCTTAATGCAATTATGTGGGTGGCAATGGAGTGGGCGTGGATGTGGGCTGGGTTCTGGGTGAGGATGCTCCGGGTTGCGATGGATACACGCACGCAAGAAACTCCAGCCCGCTGGATACACATTTCATCAACCCCATTAACCAACTAACTCGTTTATGAATATATCTCTGAATTTGCACAACATATGTGAGCGCCACTCCAGTTTCCTACATTTTTACTGCCTCCACTACTGACACCCAAGTGCTCATTTTTATGGCACTCGCTGGCGAACATAAATCGAGATTGCAGATGCCATAAACAATTTCCCGCCAGGTGGGTGAGGCTTAAATATGTCGCAGATGAGATTCGCACAGACTTCGAGCAGAAAAAAATGTAGAAAAACCCACACACTCCAGGTAACCCCAGCAATTTATCTAAATTGAAACCGTCTCTACTTTCAGCGCCTTTGTCTCTGCCTTGTGCAGGGATATCATATAATTTCTATGCAAATTTTCGTCATGTGTAATCAGATCGGAATAACTCAGGGGGAAAAGTCTGCAGCAGCGACCAGGAGGGAGTTTCAATGTTGCCAGCATCTGCCAGTCAAAGGTCGGCCAGGATGTCAATATATTGGATTACCCGGCCCCATCTTCAGACCCCAGCGCATCCTCCACAGCTTAAGCTGGCCATAATGTGGGGAGGACTTCAGAACTTCAGGGGTAGGTGAGAATTGAATTTTGTGGAAAATTATAGATCAAAGCCCGGCTCCGGACCCAAGGTATAATTTGCAATAAGCTGGATATATGGCGCTCATTTGTAATGTTCTCGGATCCAGCAACTGCTCGGTACACATTCTATATGTATGGGTACCCCGGATAGATGGCCCCGGCATGCCGTTTAAATTGCTCCATGTCCACTCCCCACATTTCTGGCTGCAACTTAACGGAGATGTATAAATAAAGTATGCCGGCGCCGGGCAAGTGAGGATGATGCCCAGGACGTGCTGCCTCCAGGACTACTCACATCTGCCTGCGTCCCCGTCTGCAGGCTGCAGATAG